AAGCCTTGTGATGTTGTTCAATGTCACTTGAAAACATGTAATCTGCGTAGTAATATGATATGGTCATATTCTGAATAACATATAACAAGGCTTCGATATGATCTCGTCCAAGGGATTTGCACATCGAATTGCAATGTTTGGCAAGTAGTGCAAATTCAACGGAAAATCACTAGACATGAACATGATGTTTTTTTTCATGTATATGAATCGAAATTCTAGTACTGTAATCAAAATTCTAGTATTACACTATCGAAACGTGTAATCAAAATTCTAGTACTACACTATTTTTGTTTTGATTCGCTATGAAGTTTTGACAGATAAAATGGTCAAAATGGGTCGTGGATTTTCCTATGTTTCGAGGGGTGCATCGATTAGCTTGGGAACGAAGATAGTAACAGAGCTGAGCCAAAAAGTTGAGGACGTTTTTTCGGAACATTCTGGTCTTATAGTTACCTCTATGGGGTGGATGTTCCCGAATGAAAATATGGAATAGGATGGAAACACACTGTCCGATTCATTCACTTTTTCAGTGACACTGACTATAGACAGTCAAGTTATAGACCGGCCAATGTGAGTTGAACTTTCGGATACAACATGTCAGCATATTGACAGGTCTATAATTATGACCGTCTATAACAGTAACAGCTCGTTCGTATGGTGGATTTGAAAACGCGCGAATTTCTAATGCGTGTTGCAAAATGCATCGCACGTGTAATTTGATTAAAAATGTAAAAACAGTGTAACCAAATAAATTTTAAATAATTTTTTCCCTTGATTACAAAAGTCTGTAAATATCAGTGAAAAAACTGAAAAGTCTGTAAATGTCTGTAACGAAAAAAATAAGAGTCTGTAAATTCACAGACATGTCTGTAAATCTAGCATCTCTGCTACTGACACTACATTTGATCAATACTCTTAATAATAGCTCCCAGAAACGGTTCTGCAGGGGTTTTACTTCCGCTAGAACGTCTAGGTTCATATTGTGTGTTGAATACATACAACCAAGGGCAATACGTAAACAACGATATTGAATACGTTCCAATTTGATTAGGTGACTTTTTCTTGCCGAGGGGAAGCAAAAACAGCCATACTCAAGAACTGAAAGAATAGTCGTTTTATATAGTTTAATAAGGTTTTCCGGGTGAGCATCCCACCATGTCCCGGAAATTAATCATTTTGTTTGACCATTTTCTACAGAGATGGCACTGTCCCGTTGGTAGGAAGTGATAAAAATCCCCATATAGAAATTGAGAGAAGTGGGAATAATTCGCTTTCGGTGCATATTCAGGTGAAAAAAAGTGAACGACAACCTAAAGAAATTAATTTGGAACTTTGTCGTTCAGTTTTTTCCCGGAATTTATTGTTAAACAAGCTACAATTAATTAAAAATGATTTTTTCCCATACAATTTTACCTGCTTTACTACCAGTCCCCAGAGAGCCAAAAAAAAATTTGAAGTCCCTCCTTTTTTACATATTCTGCGCAAAAGATACTTTATGCCCCGCCCCATACAAAAAATTCGTCGGGAAATTCTGTGAGGGGTGAGCTATTTTGTGTGCAGAATGTGTAAAAAAGGAGGGACTTCGAATAATAATCTAAATGCATATATAGAGGTACCAGACATGTTTTGCACTGCAGTGTCCACTGTGAACAATTATAGGAAAACAGATTGTGTCTAGTTTCCGATAGATGTCACCGCAAACAACAGCTGTGACATCTGATGGAACATGAATGCAGAAGCTTGACAAAATGATCAATTGATCGTAGAAAGTTGATCCTTGGCTGACACTTTTGTATTTGAACTTAGTGTGGGTACCCCAAGTGCATTTTGAATCACACCAGACTCCAAGGTATTTGAAGGTTAAGAATTGGGTAATGTCTCTGCCCAAAAGATTAAGACGCAGTTGGGCTGGAAACCGCTTCCTTGTAAACACTACCAATTCATTTTTTTCGGTGAAATCTCGATCCCCAAAATTCTGGCCCAGAAGGACAGATTATCTAAGTAATTTTGCAATGATCTTTGCAAGATTTCCGCACATGGACCTCTCGGGAAACCACGGCATCGTCTGCAAGCTGTCTAAGCGTGCATCGATCTAAGCAGATATTGATATCTTTAACGTAGAAATTATAAAGTAAAGTACTTAAACATGAACTTTGGGGTAAGTCCATGTAGCTAATTCTAGAAGTTGTCAGTTGACCGAGTTTGAAGGTCATTTTTTTTTCTGACAGCAAATTATACAAGAAATTATTTAAAATACCGGGTAATCCACTACTGTGCAGATTGTCTGACAGTTTGTCGATGGAAACTGAATCAAATGCGCCCTCAATATCCAAAAAGACTGAAGCCAATTGCTCCTTGTGTGTAAAGGCCAGTGGAATATCAGATGAAAGCAACGCTAGACAATCGTTTGTTTCTGTACTCTTTCGGATACCTACTTCCACAGATGATAGTTATGTTTTGTTATGCAAAATTCAATCTTTCCAAAAATTTACGTAAAGTTCCACTGGATTGAGATCCGGAGCAGAGGTGCTAAATGTACATTTGTATTGCAGAGGTGTCACCACAACAGCTGTACCGACTCTTTCCACCCCAAGCATAAGATTTGCCACCTCTGCAGGAATTTTCTGGATTGGCCTTCTTCTATTTATATTGGATCATCGCTGGATGCGACGACAAAATAAAATTGACCACATGCGAGCAAAGCTTTCACGCACTGTGCACCCGGAGAATCGGTTGATCTCGAGAAAGCTTTTAAGAAGAACAAATTTGAAGCTACCTACATGCTTCTGGCTGGTTATTGAGTTGGAACAAACTTTCCAAGCTGAGCACGACATTCGTGTAGTGTGTAGAGGGTGTAGAGTTTTCAAGTCTTAGATTTTTGTTTGTGTGTGTGTTTAAGGTGTTTGTATTGAAGAAACTTTTCAACTAAAAGAACCTTTGCAGAAATCACGATATGAAATTTGCTCCATCGTAAGAGTGGAGCCCTGTTGAATATAACTGCCAGCGAAGCAAAATACAAATTAGGATTCTTCGTTTGCCTGAAAGGAGTGGGAAGTGGAACAGGTACAGGAAAGCGACAAAAGTGGAATCGCGCAAAATTGGACCCAATAAAATGTGGGAATAAAAGTCGGAAAGTCAGTCTCCGTGTGTCGTACATGGCTGGCTGCTGGGCGTTTGTGTTTGTGTGTTTGTGTGGCACATTTTACTGACATTAGTACTGGTTAGTTTTGCTTGAGTTCTTGATTATTTTTTTTATAGTTTTGTTAGCAAGAAGGAGTAAATATATCTTTATACTGTTACATTTTTTGTTGGAGTAAAGAATATAAGTAAAAGAAGAAAAAAATAACAAGAGAACCTTAGAGAAAAATAAGTTTACTTGAAGTTGCAATCTGGCGAAAGCTTCCAGTCCAGTTTCTTTTTCCTTGGATTTTGTTTTGTAGTTTGGTTTAGTTTTGCAGAAGGTAGAATGGTTATAGTTTTGTAGTTGGAACGACAACGACGACGATTCGACGACGTCCGGTGAAATACCCATCGTGCGGAAGCGGTTCGGGTGTGATTGGAAAGTAAATTGGAACAAACATTAATCCTAAAATGGTCAGTGTGCTCGGAGTGGAAACGAAAATTGATGGATTTAATCAAAAAACGGAACGGAAAGGAATCGAAATGCGAAAGTTGTTCGATTGGCGAAAACCAAGGCACGATATGTCGGTTGCGATTTTGAACAATGCAGCGAATTATTGGAGTTGAATTAAAAATAGATCGAACTTGTTTAGTGGTAAGATGAATGTCGACTACAAACGGGTAATGATGCAATATGTTTTGCATTGCAAAGAATCAGTTCTGAAATTAATATCCACATCAATGTTATGTGATTTTTTTTCTGAATGCCATATTAAGGATAGAGAGTTGTACGTGGTATACAGTGATACCACGTCACAACTCTCTAACCTGAAAATTGCATGAGATATCATTACAAATCTTTGTAGATGAATTTATCTACGACCGCCGATAAATCCGTCTTCAAAAATTTTAATCTTTAAGTTATGCATGTGTACAAATACCTTGAACTATGCAGGAACGAAAGAACCATGACTAGTGTATTCAATTAAACTTCGAGAAGAATATTTGATCGCTATGATTACCAGAAAGCTATTATCAGTCACTTAAGGTAGTCCAACTAAAGTAATAAGTACAGGTGAAGGGGCATGAAGGTAACCACTGAGAAAGCCATGATCGCGCGGTGATTCTGAAAGGTTGTGATCATGAAATGGGGTGGCCTTTTTACAATTAATGTATTGTTATGCATATTTCAAGTGTCAATCAATTCTTTCGTTCATTCAAATAACGTATCTTGCACACATACAACGATTAAATGTTCAACAGAACATCTCTAAAGACATACGTTTTTCAGGACTCATTTTTCAAAAAGAGTTTAACAGTGTTAGTATCGATGCAAACAACTGATCATCGTTATGTTGAAAACTCAAAAAATAAGAAAAGAAAATTTACCAATGAAGGCAGTGTGCGCATTCAAACAGAGTTAGTTAATTTAGTCATTAGTGAGTGGATGTGTATTGTTGTTTGTTTCGTTATCCATCTAGAAGAAGAGAGTATGTGAGTATGTGAGGGGTGGTAGCACAAGAGGCATTAATATAGGGAGACAAGTCTAGAAGTATTTAGATTGTGATAGGTGGTGCGTTTTGGGCCTGTTGTTTGCTTTCCCGATGTGAAAAATGTTTGTTTAGTTTTCATGAAGGCAGGAAATTGATGAAGTCAACTGAAGAACATTCGCCACTGAATAAACGGTTTGCTTGTCCTCCGTATTATTTTTGTAACTTGGAAAATGTTGTATGAGAGTGGAAAGGAAACAAGTAAACGACAACCGGTGAAAGCAAATGTTTTTTTTGTTCTTCAGTGTCACGTTTTATAAAAGAAACACAAGGAAATAGAAAAACGACAACATGAAGGAAATGGTGGTAATTATAGACCGCTTGTCCTACCTGGTGCGAGTGCTGTCCGTTGCAGGGACCGTTGGCACAGACGCCCGTCCCAGGAACTTTAAGCTGTTCCTGTTTGTAGTCCGGCTGATATGGAAGCAACATTCGGATCTTACCCCATCGATTAAAAAATAAAGCTATAGCACCAGCCCACACTATTAACACTAACACTACGATACCGATCTCGACGCCACGTATCTGAAATGAAAAATGAAACATAGATGAGGAATTAAGGAAACGTTTTAGCATATTTCCACAGATGACGTTAAAATTACAAATTGATAGCCAGATATTTTTCAGTTCCACTAGAGAGTCAAATGTTGGCTTGAGGGAATCTAACTGCTTCAATTATAAAATCGTTTCAGAATCATTTATGAATTGCAATGTCATGGCGATAAATGGAATAATTGTTTTGGCGTTTTCAGGACAGTGCAATTTAATGTTACACGCAAACCAGACATGTAGGAGAAATGGATGTAATGTTGGCCTAAATGCCCCTAATTTGGGCCTATATATAGATTCGGCCATCGACTAAATTTTCAATAGCGACCAAAAATATCCATTATTTAGTACCGTCGCAATGATTTAGCGATAGGCCCAATCTTAGATCCTTAGGCCAACGAACGCAAACCCAAATAATAGAACTATGCCACAAATGGTTTGGCTGATACCTCGAACACGTCGTTTAGCAAAATATTACACTCTTAGAAATAACTAATTTTTCACGTGATGGAATCCATCCTTGACCTAGAAGATGAGACGTAAACAAACATGTCATGTAATATTTAGTGCTCCGAGACTAAAAAGTTCGTTGATCGACGAAAAGTACGCCTGATTGAGCTATATTTGACGTCTGTTATGACTCAAATTTATATCAAAGTTGACGCTCGTATGTGTCACTCTCAGAGCACCTAACTTTACATGATTTTGACGTAGGACTACGTCTGTGATTTCTATATGGGGGTACACTTTGTGAAAACCAATAATGGAGCATGTAACGAAATTATGAAAAAAAATCGAACGTTTATAACTCAGGTGCTCCTGGACTAATTTCAACAATATTATCACCAATCGATCAGAAATTTGTCCACTATTGAAAATTGAACGAATGTGCAACTGTTGCTATGATATTTAAAAGAGTCACCGATTGCCTGCGAAAAGCGATTTCCCTAACACAGATTTCAATGTTGAATTCCATCCGATCTCACCAAACGGTGTTTATTCAATCACCATGTGGTGAGTGGTGGTGTTCTCTAGTACACAACGAAAAGCTCCCCGCAAGCAGCTAGCTATAAAGGCTGCTTTCAATCACTGATCGTATTAAGTTACAATCACCGTATGTGGTGGTGTCCGGTCGGCGGCATCATTAGCAGCAGCAGCAGTGCTTTCGGCGCGTGGCGTTGAATATTGTTCTCCAGTACACAACGAGCTGCAGCCCACATGAGCATCCACAGAAGGAGGGAGAAGCCGCACCGCTATTGATCGGAATCAGTAGCTCTTCGTGAGTCACTGTGGGCCACGTCAAGCGCGTCATACTAAAGAGTATAAACAGAGAGCACCCCGCTCAAATTCCGATTCCTACACAAAACATAAGCTCCTGCTGCAATTAACAAAATAAGATTTATTATAAAAGACCACGTAGTCCTACGTCACCATTGCGCACAACCCCATAGGGCTGTGCCTTGTTGTTTTTTCTAAGCGTTTATAAGTGGACCTTTTAGTGATTGTTTTTCTTTTTATTTCGTGTTCTGTCTACGCTTTCGAATAAACCAGAAAGGATTTTATAAATTAATTAAATAACGTTGTAGAACGATGTATGATTCTGTCCAATTCCCATCTAACAGAAAAAGCATACGAAATTGAGTATGATAGGAAATGCGCGCTTCTTATTCGTTTTTCACCTATCTATTTTCCGAAGCACGAAGAGGAGAGCAGTGGACAAAGCACAGATCTGAAAATCACAACGACCGTGCTTCGAGTCCAGTCGGCAACCTTTTTTTCTATTTTTTATCATGATTAATTTCACTCACTAAAGGTGAATTCCGTCTTGAGCGATATTTCACGCGCGGGGCAAAATTTGCGAAGGTACGAGAAGGAGAGAAGTAATAGTTGTCTCTTTCATTTCAACGCAAAATTTGCTCCGCTCCGCTAATACACGCTCAGATCTGAATACACCTTAATACACTCCAAGTTTTTTCATTCTCCATTAATATCCTGCGATCCCTCATTATTGTTTGCAAATCTTACGTCCCTTGCTTGGGTATAGCACTATTTTGGGAATTTCATGCCATTTTGGAGATGTCTATGTCATTGTGGCATTTTTAAGTAAGTTTGAAATGTTTTAATTTAGACTTTAGTAGGCTGGCAATGACTGTGGCAAGCATCAGAAGATTTGGCGCTGCGTGGTTTGATTGTTTCTCCCGGACCAAAAATTTGTGGCATCGCGAGTGAAAATTTTAATTTCTGTTTATTTACGCGGTGTTGAGCACGGCGCTGATCTATTGTTAGGGTTTTGCGATGTGCATTGCTTTTGTGCACGGAGTGTCTTGAAAAAGAAAAGTGAAGAAAAGTGATATTTGGTTGTCGTGTGGTTGGAGTGGAGAGAAAAATACGCGTGGGAGCATCGGGAATGCGCTCCCGGGTGAAGTGATTTGGTGAGTACGTTCCAGTTGAAGATGGTTGACAAGTGTATTTGTGGTGATGCAAATTATGGTTTAGATGACGCATACTAAATACGCACAGGGCATCGTCTGCTGACCATTGCCGCGGGTATATCGTGGGAGTCCCAGGTACCCGGTTCAAGCTTTAGTTGGCGGCGGTGGCTCTTCTTGACCTTCTATCCCCTGAGTAGTTAGTGTGAATAAGGGCGTCTATGTGATGTTGTGCTGTACCTGTTGTGGACATCTAGTGCATCCTGTTCCCTTAACTTGTTGAGGACACCCTGTCTTGCCTCAAAAGTTACCCTTTTTGAAGTACTAGTCTTCACAACATAAAGGGCACCATTACGGAGCATGAGATTTGATCAAATTATTCGCAGTTCTACTTGTCCAACGCCCCCGGCTGGGTGAGGGATAGAGGATGACACACACACACACACACACACATATTAGGCTGGCAATGACTGGGATAATGCGGTACTTCGCGTACTTGAAGGTTATAAAATAGACCCGTCACGCAAGTGAAAGTGGTCCTTAGCCTCTTGCCCAGTAACTCCTATCGCTTCCTTCCCGCGGTGCAGGCTGGAGTACGAGTAACCTTAGGGAAGATCGGGTAACCAACCCCGGTGGGAACTTTGGTCGTATGATGATAGGGAAGGGGGAGATGCATCCTTTTCGGAGGATGTGGCTTACAAAACCCGAGCGTCTGTTCTCCATGTTAGGAGCGGCTCAAACAGCGTCTGACTGGCATCCAGCGGCTAAATACGAAATGCTTCTCCCCGAAAGCTATACCCAAAATGGCAGTCCCATCACGGCGGATAGGAGACCTTAGGCCAACCACCTACTGTCTCCGAAACCTTCAAATTGTTACAGAAACCCATATTGAAAGATTACGAACTGATTTTATGGCAACGACTTTTAGCGCTAAACAACGGACAAGAATTGGAACATGGAATGTGCTGACGCTAGCCCAACACGGCTAACTGGCACAACTCGACAGTGAGGCCCGCCGTATGAAGCTAGAAATCCTGGGACTTAGTGAAGTCCGCTGGCCGAACTTTGGCGTACACAAGCTGACTTCGGGACAGGTACTTTTATATTCTGGTATGCGAGGTGATAACGCTACGCGACATCGTGGAGTTGGTTTTCTGCTTAGCGCCCAAGCACAGGTTGTGCTTATCAAGTGGGAACTATCAATGAGAGAATAATCGTTGCCAGATTCAGAACACGGGTCCGAAACCTTACCATAATCCAATGTTATGCGCCAACCGATACTGCTGAATTGCAGGACAAAGAGAACTTTTACAGTCAACTGAATGCTGTCGTGGATAAGACTCCAAAAGGTGATATCAAGATCTACAAAGGCGACTTCAATGAGAAGATCGGCTCCGACAACTCAGACTATGAGCGCATTATGGGATGCCATGGTCTCGGAGATATAAGCAAGAACGGCGAGCTGCTTGCAGAGTATTGTGGCAACAACGACATGGTGATCGGGGGTTCGCTCATCCCCCATCGCCCAGTGTATAAAGTTACATGGGTCTCCCGTGTTGGATATACAGAGAACCAAGTCGACCACATCTGCATCAGCCGAAAATGTAGACGGAGACTTCTTGATGTTCGGAATAAACGCAGCGCTGACATCGCGTCTGACCGCCTACGCAGTGCGTGGGTTCAACGGCGGGGGCGGCGATTCAACACACGCCGACTGGAAGACCCAGCAGTGAAGAGATCGTTCGTCGAAGAACTCGAAGCTCGAGCAGCTAATATACCGGAAGGTGGCAGCGTAGAAGAACAGTGGACGAACATCAAGAATGCCTTTATTGAAACAAGTGAGAACAACCTGGGTGAGCTGCGTACTAAGAGGAAGGAGTGGATCACCGCTGAAACCTGGAGGAAGATTGAGGAACGGAGAGCCAAGAACGAGGCCTGTCAGCGGCATTCGGCTCTAGAGAGGGAAGTTAAGCACTCCTGTATACGGAACAAGCGAGCGTGGGTGGACTTCCTGGCTGATGAAGGGGAGAAAGCCGCAGCAACTGGCGATATCCGCCTCTTCTATGATGTTTCACGACGCCTGAGCGTGGCAAGGATGAACCCAAGGATATCTGTGAAAGACGCAACTGAACAGTTGCTCATCGACCCCACTGACCAGTTAAAACGTTGGTTTGAACACTTTGAACAACTTCTCGAAAGTTCAACGGTCAACCAACCATCAACATCTCGGCAAGATCCGCCAAGAGTGAGGCGCGTTATTCGCGTCAACACTGAAGCAGCCATCCGAAGTATGGAGTCCAACAAAGCCCCGGGGGTTAATCGCATATCAGCAGAGATGCTCAAAGCTGACCCCATGTTGTCCTCACAAATGTTGCATCAACTATTCGTCACAACAGACTGGATGCAGGGCGTCTCGGTAAAAGAGTCCAAGAAGGGGGATCCAACTGTATTGTATATATTTTTTCGCCACGAGCTGTCTTCGGGCGCGGACGCATTTGCATTTTGGTCCGCAAGTAATTTGTATATATATATATATTTTTTTTTTAC